ACTACCCCGAAATTAAACTTAATATAATAAATCCGCAATCCGCAAACAGCGCAAAATATCTGGGCATGCATTTGGATACACGTCCGACATGGAAAATACATATTTTTAACAAAAGAAAATTCCTTGGGGTTCAATACCTAAAAATGTTTTGGCTACTGAATAAAAAATCTTTATTGTCGCTAAAAAATAAACTTATTTATACAAAAATGGGCTAAAACGAGTATGGACCTATGGTATTCAACTATGGAGAACAGCCACAACATCTAACATCGAAATTCCCCAACGATTCTAATCTAAAACTAAAATATTTGTTTCAAAAAAAAAAAAAGTAGCTCTCCACAGGGAAACCTACCTAAATTGAAAATTATGAGGTCTTAAATCTTAATTATCAAATGATTGTAAAATGTCACAACTTTATTTGACAGAATACATAATAAATTTAAATTAAATAAAAAAAAATCTGTATAATACGTTCAACGCAAGTAGACGTGTGTTTGAAGTGCTCGTGATACAGCACTTCATTTACGAATGTGGAGTGTACAAAGTCTTACAGATTTACAAAAATAAGTAACAATAATTAAATAAAACGATAAGTTGAAAACACAATCATAGGTGAAAACTTTTGTGTAAACAACATTTGTTTGATTTACAAAAATAACTTGGCGCTTTTGTCAGGATTTGCCTTGTTGTGGAACTTAAATCAGTGCATTTGAAAGTGAAACAATAAATATAACTGCTGAAGACAGTTCAGTAATCTTTCAAATATATTATATCTGGCGCACAATAGATCTTTTAGGTCCGGGTGCACAAATAGCCTATTTTAAATAATAATAATAATATTATATCTGCTCTTATAGCATATAGTGTAATCACTTATCAGCTAAAACAAAATCTTAAATATTCAGCTGATAGAGACACCTAACATAACTATATAATCATAGAATTTTTTAGCTTGTGCACAAACCATAAACATTTTCTATAGCTTGTACACAAACCACTAATAGTGTTGTAAATTCTATAAGTGATTAATAATATAAAAGCTTTTAATATTATAAAGTGTAATAATCAAAAAACAAAAAACGAAAAAACATTTATCAAAAGTCTTCACTGAAATATGTGAAAAAACAAATAAATCATGGCAAACTTAGAAGAATTCAAACTTTCAAATAAGCAGATTAAGGATTTAAAAATATTGTGTCAAAAACAAGAAAAACTAAATGCGAATTTAAGCAATGAAAATGCTATGTTAAAACAACAAGTAGCAACCACTGCTACCATTTGATACTGAATCAGAAGCGGAAGAAGAATATTGCTCAGATGAAAGTGAACTGGAAAAAAGAGTTCACAAAAGTTATAAATAAAAGAACAGTCAGAAAAGAAAAGCGTAAGAGAAGTGATGATACACTATCCCCCTTAACCAAGCCAGAGGTAAAAAAAGATCAGCCAAACATCAAAAAGAAACCAAGATCCCCATGCCACGTCCTATTAACGTGAGTAATGTAAAAAAATAAATGGAATGGTTCAGTTTAAGGCTTTATCCAACAGTGATATCAAGATCACTTGTCAAAATGAGGCCGACTATCGCCAAATCAAAAATGTGATTCATATAGAATCCGAAAATCATAATGGAAATTTCCATGATATAGAATATCACACCTATCAATGAAAACGCGTACAGATTTGTAATAAGAGTAGTTCCAGCTACCATAGACACTCAGGAAATGGTTGCCGCCATTAATAATCTTGATCATGATGTGATAAGAGTTCAAAACGTTAAAAAAAATAACAAACAACGGAATAAAAAATTACAAATCATTTTCACTACACTTCGTAGATTCAAACAAAACTAAAAGAACAAAACTGTGTTCGAAATTCATGATCTACTACACTGCAAAGTGAAAATAGAACCACACAAAAAAGTAATAAGTATTCCACAATGTACTGACTGTTAGCAATATCAAAAACCGCGTAACAATGAAGTTACGTGCGCACTAAATCATAAAAAGGGACACACAGCTAATTATAAAGCTTGCTCAGTATACCAAAAGAAATTAAAAGCACAACAGCCTATCAAACCTAAACTTGTCCAACGACGCAAAGTACAATCTGTTAAGTTGCAAGATCATCAAAATTGTGCAAACCCTCCATTAAGTTATGCACAGACTGCTAAAATGTCTATGGAGGCACAAAAGCGATGAAAACACAAACTGCAACAATAAATGATAATGAGCCAACTAATGCCGATATAATGGTATTGCTTAAAACAATACAAAATAGCATTAACAAGTTAAATGAAAGGGTGAACAAGCTAGAAAGCCAGTCCCCACCAACCAAGAAAATTGAAACGATTCACCATGAATAATCAATCAAATGACATGGAATGCAAACGGGCTCAATCAAAGACCTCATGAGCAAGAATTATTCTTGAAAATAAATAATATAGATATTGCTTTGATATCCGAAACCCACTTTTCGCAATTAAATCATACTAATATTATGGGTTATTGCGCCTACTGGACTACACACCCAAGCGGCAGAGCCCGTGGAAGTACTGCTCTATTTATTAAAGAATATATACAGCATTATCAAAAGGATGAAATAAAAGTGCATTATATACAAACAGTTATTGCAATTCAACACAACGGAGCTCAATTAAATATTGAAGCTGTATGCTGTCCGCCACGTCATACCATTAGCAAAAAGCAATACTTAACCATATTCAAAAACCTTGGGCCAAGATTCATTATTGGAGAACACTACAATGTCGAACATTGTTCACTAAAGCAGACCTTGAGAAGCATACACAGCCGCAGATGCTTGTTCCAAAAGAACATTTTGAACAAGAAGCTGTATTATATATCCAGTTAAGATCAGGGATTTAATCAAGGAAAGAAGGAAAACAAGACGTACATGGCATAGAACCAGAAATCCAATTGATAAAACAATATTTAATCGGCTAAGCAATTCTGTTAATCAGCTAATTACAAATTATAAACAAATAAGTTTCGAGCAATACCTAAGTGGACTGGGAACCGAAGCAGATAAAGATTATTCATTATGGAAGGCAACTCGTCGCCTCAAGCGCCCGTTCCTTCAGGTGGCACCAATCAAAAATGCAGTAGGACAATGGGTCAGAAAAAATGATGAGAAAGCAGAAATGGTTGCCTAACATCTTGCCGCGGTATTTCAACTGCATGACATTCTATCTGATGTCAATATTACACCTGTATATCAACCATCGTCAACTATCAAATCAATAACTTCTATAGAAATAGCACAAGAAATTGATAATAACCTCAATCTAAAAAAAGCAGGCCCTGTTTAAAGAGTTATCACGCAAATCAATTGTCATGATGACATATTTATTAAACGCCTGTCTTCGGTTACAATACGTACCGAAATGTTTAAAAATAGCAAAATTATCATGATAAAAAACCAGATAAACCACTAGAACAGGTTAACTCTTATCGACCGATATCTCTGTTACCAACAATTTCATAACAATTCTAGAAGTTATTACTTAGACGTCTTAAGCCTATGATCAACATATCTGACTTTCAGTTTGGATTTAGGAATAAGCACTCGACTATTGATCAAGTTCATCGAGTATCTAAAACAATTGAAAAAGCATTTGAGGAAAAGAAATACTGTCCTGCAGTGTTTATTGACGTATCTCAAGCATTTGATCGTGTATGGCACAAAGGTTTTCTATATAAGATGAAGAAAATACTACCGGCTAATTATTGCCAACTTCTTGAGTCATACTTACCGATAAGAACATTCAGGGTAACATATGAAGAAGAACATTCGGACATATATCCTATCAGAGCTGGAGTTTCACAGGATAGTGTACTAGGTCCTATTCTCTATATTCTCTACACTGCTGACATACCTACAACTCGAGACACATTCATCGGTACGTTCACCGATGATATTGTAGTAATGGCATATGAAAACACACAAGAAGCAGCCACAAATAAACTACAGGCAGCGCTGCACTATATCAGCCTTTGGACCGCTGACCGTAAAGTTAAACTAAACCAAAATAAATCCACTCATGTAACATTCTCATTGCGGCGTACAATTAACAATTTGTATACATATTTAAATGGCATACAAGTTTCGCAGGCAAAGTCAGCAAAATACCTTGGGTTACATCTTGATAATAAACTTAATTGGAAACATCATGTCAAACAGAAATCCGACCAAATCAAGTACAAATATCGACAAATGTATTGACTAATTGGACATCATTCTTAACTTAATTTATATTGTAAAAGACTGATTTATCTATCTATCGTGAAACCGATTTGGATGTATGACATCAAGCTATGGGGCTGTACGAAACAATCGAACCGAGACATCATACAGCGAAGTCAAAACAAATGTTTAAGGATGATTACAAATGCTTATCGATATGTAACAAACCAAGAAATACATAAAGACTTGAAAGTTTCAACAGTCAAAAAAACCATACAAAAAGTAGCTGCTGGGCATGAAAAATGATTACTCAATCACATCAATATAGAAGCTATTCAACTGCTGAATATTACCAATGAACTGAGAAGACTAAAGCGAACTATATCTCATGAGTTTTCATAGATAATATTGTATTATAATTATAGTATTATTATTTGTATTATAAATATTTAAACATAGTATTATAAGTTATAAAACATTGTATTATAAACTATTTGAGCTGAACACTGGTTCAGTAAACCCGTACACATATTACTTAATATTTATATTACTTAATATATATTAAGTACAATTCAGCAATAGTAATAAATTTTCTAATAGTTAAGATTGTACTACTCATATCCAATAAAAGGATGTTTTTATAAAAAAATAAAAATAAAAAAAAAAATTATGGTACAAAGGTCATTTGATGCGCTGTCATTGTGGCCAACTATGCCAACTCTTTGGTATACTCGTTTATTATATTATATAACTTTATTTTTTTATAAATAATATTGTTCTATTTCCATAATTTTTTTGTATGTCGTTTTATATTCTAAATAAGTATTTAAATTAGACCAAATAAAAATATAAAATAAGTTAATTATCTCGAATACAGCTATTTCAATTACATGTATGTTATAAACTTTTAATTCACATATATTTGTTATCCTAGATCACGGACAATTTGAATTTTATCACATATATCAGAATCTGGTGCGATGGTTGTGAAATGTGTTCGATCACTGCGAAAAGTCCGTTCATTGGAACTTGTTTTGATCGATCGTTCTGAAGGTGTATCCATGCCGCCATGCTGTATTCTTTTTTGTAGTACAGAAACAAAATTCTAATTGTATAAATATTAACATTTTTTTTAATTTTTTACTGTAACAAATGTTAAAAATTTACCTGTGAAATAATATCACCCCTTGCTGTCCGTACTTGATACAGGTAACGAAACTTTCGTTGCTTTGCTTCTTCGCGTGTTTCACGTGGTCGAGAATTTGTACGTCCACATCGTGAAGCCATTTTATGATAAGCACGTTTACGATGATCAACACCCCAGGCTGTGATAAAGCATTGAATCATAATGCTTATTATACTAACAAATGGCCAGATAAATATTAGAATACCACCATAACATGGTGGTGGAGAAGGATGAGGTTTCATATTTAAAATCTAAAATATAGTATTTATAGATAATTTTGAATTTAAATTATTATTTTAATGCTTTAATCTGACCCAATTGAGAGTTTTCGAACCGTGTATAAAATAATCAACGGACGCAATAACCATGAAGGTCCCGACTATACTAGAGGTAACTATGGTTACATATTTAACACAGCAAAATGTAAGAACAGACGATATAACAGCACCTCCTATTATTGCTACGTAAAGTTCTCTATACTGCAAACATATTATTGATAAAGTTGTTGAACATGTTTTATTATATATACAAACACTTACACCAAACACATTTTCAGTCATTGTAGCAACACAAACAGCCATACAAGCTCCTGCAACCATTGCTCCAGCAAATGCACTAACAAGTATAGATGCTACAGGGTACGTAGATCCTATTATAGCTCCTGTGAGACCTGCAACTATTGCTAGTGCAGAATCGGCTCGTTTTCCAATTAATATAATTTGATTACTTTGCAGAACACAAGATAGCTTAACACCAACTAAGAGTCCGCTAAGAAATCCCACCGCTCTTAAACAACGATAACCTTTAAATGATATAGCATATTTTATAATTAATATATATATTTAAATAAATACTATATGAAATCATCAAAATAATAAAAATCTTATATATACCTTCTGATCAAAAAAGAACGAGAGGCCTATTTTTGAATTCCCGCGCTTATCCAATCGGTAAATTTTTTATTTTCACGCTGGCAACACTATTATACGCATTCTGTCAAAGTTTAACGCATATTGTACAATTAGTTTTTGTTTGGCGTCTATACAAAAAGTCGAAAAATTTGCGTGTGGCGATTTTTATTATGGATCAAAAATTAGAACAACGTGCGGGCATCAAATTTTGTGTTGCAAATGGATTCATGTGTGCCGAAACTGTTAAAAAATGTTAAAAAAGGCCTTACGTGATTTGTGAGTGTCGCAACCACGAGTATACGAATGGTTTAAATGGTTCAAAGACGGTTGTACAAGCTTGGACGACGATGAGATCCCTGGCCGCCCAACAACTTCTGTTACTGAAGAAAACAAAATCGTTGTGAACCGATTGATTGTAGTGTTGGGCATCTCATACGGATCGGCTGAACACATTTTAACTGATGTTTTGGGTTTGCAACGCGTCGCTTCTCGGCTGGTGGCAAAAAAACTGAATTTCATTCAAAAAGCCGCAGTTTTTGGCCAAAAACTCCACCAATATCATCAACCAAGTACCGTACTCTCCAGATATGGCCTCTTGTGACTTTTTCCTTTTCTCCCGACTCAAATTGCCATTGCGAGGAACGCGTTTTGAGACCATAGAGGCCATAAGGTAAAAATCGCCACACGAAAATTTTTCGACTTATTTGTATAGATGCCAAACAAAAACTAATCGTACGATATGCGTTAAACTTTGACAGAATGTATATTGCCAGCTTGGAAATAAAAAAAATTTACCGATTGGATAAGCACAGGAATTCAAAAAATTAAAATTATCGTTTTTTTTGATCACAAGGTATAACTATAAAATGGTAGGTCAAAACATTTTAAGTGCACTCAAAGTAAGTGCAATAAGTAGTGTACAAAAGAACAATAAATAGATGTGATAATAATTGGTTGACAAAAAACCAATAAATAAATTAAGTTACTTCTTGCTAATTATTTGACTATGTCTAGTTCTTACTGCTATTTTAAGCGCTAAATATTGTCAGTGCAATCAAAACAAGTAGTCAACAAGATCACAAGCTTTTGTTGTTAACTATGTTATGACCACTATGACCACCAAACAACGCGGAAGCATTGTAACTAAATATTATTGAGTTCAGCCTCAACATTTATGTTATGCAGAATTGCATTTTTGTCAAATATTGGCAGTTACCAACAGGTTACTAGGTCAATATTTTACTTTCTATTTTCTGCGTAATTGCAGTAAAATAATGGAAATTTCCCATCATGTATTAAGCACATATTAAGCACATAATCAATGTGGTAAATCTAGAACGGGGGAGTCTAAAAAAATTTATTGAAGAGTGCATCTGCAAAGTTGTCCGCTGCGGGTGGTGAAGTATTTTTCGACAATTGTGATTGTTGTTAACGAAAATTATTTACAAGTTATTTTCATATAAAATTTCATGGAATATATTAACTAAAATATACAATTAAGTGTTCATTTATCAATAAAATTGCAATTTAGTTTTTAGTATGCATATTAAGACTCAAATGCCGAATCAGAATTATAACAAATGATGAGAAACTTTATGTGACGGCAGTGCATTTTACTTATTGTTAACAATGTACATGTCAGAATACATAACAAATAAAATTCACAAAATTGTTGGCAACTATACAATTGGTGGCTCAAATAAATTAACAGCAGCAATGCCGTCAGCACGAGCAATATAACAGCAGCAGTCAAATCAACTGCGACTACGGCAGCAGTAGTAGCAGAAATAGCATCAGCAATTTTAGAAGCTCTAGTAAATAAAAACTAATATTTTAAAGAAATAAAAGTGCGTCTTTATTTGGATGAGCTGTGGAGCCAGAAAAGTGAGTATGATTAATAAATGTCTTTGGTAATAATTTATTAACGGGCTAATTGGTCAATTTAAATAGAAATAAAAACACAATAATTTATTATTTATATTTAAAAATAGTTTATATTTTATTAAAAATAATTGTTCCAATATTTGGACTGTTGAATTAAATTGACCAATTAGCCCATTAATAAATTATTTTATAATTTTTTTATTCACAAATGAAAGTATTAAATGTCTTTGGCAAATAAATAAATTTCATTTTTTCAACTAGTGGGTTTTGGGTTAGGATATTACCGTGGAAGACTAAAATCTAGCCAGCCGTCTGAGGACGCATATTGAAAGTATACATAAATCTTGGAAACAACGAGGGATATCCAAGTGCATAAAGAGTGGCTAAACAGCTGTGCACCATCGACGGATACAGGCGAGTGCACTGTTCTAAGAGAAGGTAGTTGCGCCAACGGTGGATTTCTCTCATGTTCAACAATTACACCATGATAAGCAGCAAAGAGTTTGGATCCAAATAAAATAGCTAATGAAAGTTTGTGATGGACATGGGGACATCTGAAGTGCCAAGATAACTGATGTGCCATTCTCACTTAGGAACGAGTACATAAAAAAGTGAAGGAATGACGAAACGGAGTCACTAGAGACATGTAAAATCATTTTCAACAAAATGAAAACTGCTGTGCTTAAGAAGAGGAATGTTGCGATTAAATTGTAACGACCTTTTCCCTGCCTTTTCAACGGCTAAGATATACTTAGGATATTCAGGGTACAGTACAAGATTTAAAAAAAACTGGCTTAGGGATTGCTATTAATTTAGCTTGTTAATTTTAAATTTATTCACACAATTTGTTATTTACAATTAAAAAATCTTACAAAGAAATTACTATAATAAAAAAAACTACAACTTATTATAAATTCAGTAGATTATAAATAAAGTTTTTTTTAAAAAGAAAACCTATAAATGTATGTTTAGAATCAATAAGAAGTTCTGACTCGTAATGTACCTCAACTTTTATTTCCCTTCGGTAAGGAAAAAAAACAAGTTCTCACCGCATTTGTTGTGATAACGTTACCACTTCAATATAGCTGTATCTAGCTATATTTGTCTAGGAAAATCAATAATTTCGTATTTTCTACAATATAAATATTCACAAAGAGAGGAACAAAACCAACGTGCTATATTTATCTAGATATAACTAATAAACATATATATAATTCAGGAAGGTGGACTTAGCTTTTCTAATTTATAATTCATATAATATAATACTAATATACAAAAAAGAAAAAATATGATTCAGAAAGCTGGACTTAACTTGATAAGATATACTAAACTAACATGCTCTATTGATATGTATAATTAATAAAAAAACACAATACATATAATATAATTCAACTAATATAAAAAAAATATGATTCAGAAGTCCGTTGAAAAAAAAAGGTTGTTTATTCGTAGGCAACAAAAATGTCTAGAACCGCTCCAGTAGACAGAAAACGCAGGAGGAGTGGCTGGAGTCTTTTGCTGCTGCAAGGAAGGCAGGTGTCGAAGATATCGCTGTACTAATTGTCGGTGGGAGAAGTGCGATAGGTTGTATTTTTAACAAAATTGCAGAAAAAATAACAATGCACTCTGTTGAGTAACTTTTGTAGACGAATGTATCTGTGAACGGGTGTATTTGGTTTTAACACGTACCGAGTGTTAAAACGTTTTAAACTCTAGAAAAACCGAAATTGTTTTAAATATGCAAGTTGATTATTTTATTGTAATTGTTACTGTTTGTCGATGCTTGCTTTGTTATAGTTTTAACGTATTATATTGTTTTATATTTCACATTACGGATTCACTGAATTTTATAATTCGCTGTCTTCAATATTAAATCGATTATTTTAATTTTTACTTGTTTTTAAGTTCGACTTTTGTGAGTAATATATATTTATATTTTATATATGTTTGTACTTTATATTTCTTTTATTTTATACACATTTTATGTTCTAGAATGTTATTAATGTTTTTGAATAACTATGCCATAAGGCATTACTACTATTCGCCAAAAACTTTTCTTTTTTTTTTAGATCACAATTCGCGGGTACCACACGTAGAATTCCAAACCAAAACAGAGCTCTTGTGCACCAGGCTAGGGTAGCCTGGTCCTCTTTTCTTATAACTACTTAAATCAGAATTTTCTGTTACCGAATAACGGCAGGAGCGAGCAACAACTGGTCCAGTAACGCAAACTACTGGGAAAAAAACTCATCACATCAGTACTCATATTATATAGTAACAAAAACAAAGACGCTAATGGCCTAAAAAGGCAATTAAAAGGCCGACAATGTAGAAATACTGCTAAGAAAGTTGCATAATGAAAAAGCACAAGACCGAAGAGCAGAGTGGCTTTATGTTAAATCTGAAGAGGTGCTCATAAAATCAGTAGAAGGCAGAAGTTACACAGATATCCTTAAATCGTTAATGAACAACGTAAAATTACAGAATCAAATATCGCGATCTACCCCATTTACAAGACTTCTGCTTGTGAAGTGTTACTTGAAGTCGCAAAAGTCGAAAAGAAAGAGGTGATTTACGAATCCATAAATGAAACGCTAAAGGAAATGGCGACAATAAAAGACATAAGTCCGCAACCCACGATTGAGAACCACGAATAGGATTGTCTATCCGCTATCCAGTTAGCAACCCAAAACCCGATAACAGAGATGAAGATACACGTCACCAAAGCAGGTCGAGTTAAAACGGTGTTTCAAGTGTTGTGGTGTCGGTTATGTAAAAGTAAATTGCACAGACAGAAAATCACAAGGATTACGCATACGACGCAGTGAGAATGAGCACGAAAGAAAGAATACACAAAACCGCCGAAATACTGTCTACGCCTAAATGAAGGGCTTAGAGCAATATTCCTGAATCAACTAGATGCCCGACACAAAAAAAATTTTAATGGCTCTGAATGAAAATACTTCAAGCACGGAAATAAAGTATCTGACGCTCTTCTAGCGCAAATAGTTATTAAGTGGTGAATCGACCTCGTGAAAATAAGCAAGCAGTAAAGAAAAAATGAAAACGGAACCTGGATAGAAGACAACACAACAACTGTAGCAATCGGGGTAGCGGCACAAGTAGTAAAACACAAATCACTAATAGTGAAACAGGAGATGGTTTTGTTTACGCAAAATGTGACGGAGTGACGCTAATGAGCTGCAATTTGTATCCAGTGATGATATGCAAACATTTCTAAATAATCGTGTCTAGGTAGCTACTTTAACTCCAGGACAATAAAATGGGGTAATGAAACTACAAGCTTAAAGGGAAGGCGAGTTTTAGAAATAGTTGCCAGGCTAGGTCTTATAGTCACAAGTACGGTGATGATCCAAACTCTAGTAAGTAAGGATGTCAAGATATCACACTTATATCGGAAAGAATAGCTAGTAAGCTGACCCAATGAAAAGTCTTAGAGGACTACACCGGGAATGACCACTGAAACCTGTCGTATTTCATACGGTCCAACACAATTTCGGCTTATGATCGCAGAACAAGAGTGTGTGGGTTGAAAAAGGGTCGAATTGTTGTATGTCGCACTACCAATGTAATTATATCCCTTTAACAGAACTAATGTCAAATAAAAATGCCATGTAATTTGATTTTTTTAATATTTATTCACATATTTTTTATTGTTATTTGTTCACAGTCTATAAAGTAAATTTTATTTTAGTATTAATTAAATGAATTTAATTTGAAATAAAGTATTTGTATATTATTAAATTATTATTAAGACCAATATTGCATTAGTTTCTTATTGTTACTGGGCTTAGGTCACTTATTTAGCACATAAAAGTATAAATGTTTTCTTAAATAAAAAATTACACTTATTAAATTATGTGATGTATTTCATTATATTTTAATTTTTATACAAAATTATTTATATCACAAAACTAGCTGAACTTCGTGCCGCGTAACAGTCAATGAATGTTATATTAAATTTTAGGTAAACTAAATTTAAAAATTTATTAACGTAATAAAATAAATAAAAAAATTTATTATGTTCAATAGTTTATTAGGATATTAATATATAATTAAAACAAATACACAAATACAGGAATATAACAAAACTTTTTCACCTACATTCCACATTTGATCAAATTTTTAAACTATTTAAGTTTTCTTTTAAACAAAATAAACATTTGCTCCTTTCAACATAATTTACCTTGAATATCGGTTTAAATCCATGTTCTTCGATAATGTCTGCCCCGAATAAAAACATTTGAAAGCAGCCATTGTATTTTTGAGTGTTCGCTAGAAAATGTCGTGATTCTGGTATTTCACCACAAAGCAATGAATGCAATGGCTAAGATGGCGGAGTCAATAATGGCAATTTCACTTTGCCATTAAGGCAGCACAATCCCGGCGATTCTCCAGAAAACTTTAATGCTTCAAAATGTTCGCAAGTAACTTCCATTGGACCAATGCGAACAAAAGGATGCAAATTGTAATCATTTGCGCAATCGTATGGAAACGCTGCTCGACACAAATCAATAGTTGAAGCAATAGTTGATCTCGTTGTTGATCTGCGTGATAAGCTCGAAGATTACTCATTGCCAACCGAGCCGTTTTATGGGCTGCCTCTCTTTGCTCTTGTGTTTGAGAAGCGCGAAATCGAGTCATACTAATGTAGTTCTTTTCTTGTGCGATTTCTCGTCGTTCTTTAGTGAATGCATGCGTAATATTTCGACGCCTAATTGTATTTTAAATAATTTCCTAATTTCTCTATGAAACAAAAAATTAGAATTTCGATATTTACAGCTCATATATTGATGACAGTATTTATTTATTATATTTGAAATTTGATATATTGATGACACACGAAAATACAAAAAGAAAATCAGTATCAATCAAACTGTCATACTGTCAACAGCTTGAAACAGAAATTTATAAAGTTATTATTTATGTTAAAATTAGTGGATTTTTCCAATATTTTAAAATATATTTTGCTATTCAAATCGGAGACGAATCCAACAAATCAAAGATAATTAAAATCGGTGCAACCGTTCTTGAGTTATAAGTGTAACTTCTTTTTTAGTAAACTTGATATATGTATGTAAATTATTTAATGTGTGTAATGTACTCCCCATGTTGTCAATTCTTATAACAGTAAATACATCGTCTACGTATTTGGTAAGTAATTTGGGTTTTATAGCTACTTCGTCCATCATTTTGTCTAAGATATTCGCTATCATAATATCTGATTTAACAGGTGAGATCGGAGAACCCATTGGCATCGCTTTCGTTTAATTGTAAAGTTTATTTTCAAATATGAAGTGGCTATTTTCTTTAAGAAGGAAGTTTAAAATCTCCATAAATGTTCTTTTCTTCATATTGCATTCATTTTTGATAAGACACCAATCAGTTTTTTAAATGTTCGCAAAGTAATTAGCACTTAATATTTAGTAATATAGTAATTAGCACTTATAAAGATATAATAGTCGTTGTTGATAATATATCAACATTGAATTGGTTCGGTTATATGATTTTTTTGTGAAAATTGATCTGTAAATTGTAAAGTTGGCACAGGTTGTAGTGGTCTTCTGATGTAATTTGAACGCAGGAAAACGTGTGAGAAAGTGTTGAGTTCTTTGTGTATTTTCATACACATCGGTCTGTTGCTATGATGTGTTGCTGGCGTTGGTCGTATTTCACGCAAATATTCACGAAATTTGTTTAGGAAATTTGATTGATTAGAAAGCCTTGACGAAGATGATTGAGTTAATGTTCAAAGAATTCACCAGGCAGACGGAGGTTGATACCATACATCATCTCTGCCGCAGATGCTCCTATGTCTTTCTTCACTGATATTCGTGGCCCTAAAAAAACTGATGGGAGTAATTAAAGCCATGTATGTTTCGGTCTTGCCTTTAGTGCTGCTTTTAGCGTTCGATGGAATCACTCTACCGTGCCATTCGCTGCTGGATGATAAGGCGTAGTGCGGATTAGTTTGGTTCCTAACAGTTCAGTCAAAGCTTGAAACAGATCTCCTTCGTATTGTGTTACCTGGTCTGTTGTTATTACTTTCGGCGCGCCAAACCAGGATACAAATTACAATTTACTGCTACTATATCTGCGGTCATGTCTTTTAATGGTGTCACTTCTGGCCATCGGCTAAACCTGTCAATCATGGTTAATGCGTACCTATAACCCCGACATTTTGGTAATGTGATTAAATCCAGGTGGACATGGTCGAATCGCTGATCAGTTTTTGTAAATTCGCTTGGCTTCATTCTGTTGTGCCTATTGACTTTGGATTGCTGACAAACTTGACACTCTTGAAACCATGTTTTTATGTCCTTTCGCATTGATGGCCACACGTATTTTGATGTTAGTTGTCGCGCTGTGGACCTGGAACCTGTATGCTCCAAAGAATGCACTAAGTTGAATACCTCTTTGCGTGATAATTTGGGTATAAATGGTCTTAACTGGCCCGTCGTGACATCACGTATGTCTATGTCTCCAAGTTCGATTGCAACTGCAAGTTCTTTAGTTGCAATTTCGTGCTTGTGGACAAAAACTGTTTAAGCTCTACATCATCTTCCTGGTGCTTGCTTATCCGCTCAGGGCTGCAAGTTTCTGGCAAAGCTATCGAGTTGATCCGCGTGTGTGTCCGCAATAATGTTGTCTTTACCTGATACATGTACCATCTCGGTCGTGAATTCTGCTATGTAGCTCAGATCGCGTAATTGGCGAGGAGATACCTTGTTGGCTTTCTGCTGAAAAGCGAACGTCAAAGGCTTATGGTCATGCGGATGACGAATTGACGCCTTTCAAGCAGATGACGAAAATGTTTTATATATGCGTAAACTGCTAGGAGTTCTCAGTCATAGGTATTGTAATTCACTTCTGCCGATTTAAGCTTGGTGGAGAAGAAGGCTACTTGTTTCCACTGGTCATTGTTTCGCTGATATAGAACTGATCCTATTGCAGTGCTGGTTGAAAGACGAAGAGGTGCTGTTGGTGATAAGAATACTAGTTGAGTTAACGTTGATATACCTGACTCACAGCTTTCAAACGATGTGCTAAGTTCTGCTGTCCAGACTATTTCTGTCTTATCTCTCTTCTTGGATTCTCTCAGTAGGCTGCTTAGGGGTACTTGTAACTGTGCTGCTCATGAAATGTACTTACGATAATAATTGATAACTCTAAGGAATTGACGAATTTGAGGGATTCATGCTATTTGCTGACAAATGATAACCTAAGAACTGCAATTCATCGACACCGAGCTCGAATTTGGAAATATTAACGTCAACGACCTAGTCAAAGTTTCGTAATGAGCGGATGTGTTTTTTAACCGGTCTCGAAGAAATTTAAATTACAGTATAAAAACAAGTAAATAAGAAGTACTCTTATAAATATCACTTTTGTTATTAATACAAATTCACAAAAATAGATCATTTTTGGGCAAAAAACAATTAGTAAAAGTTTAAAGTGCATAAAATATTAATTTGAAAATAGCGCGCGCTTTTTTCGATTTTTGTTGACTTTCTTTCTTTTTGCACAACTCTATTAAAAAATTCAAACAGCTGACAGAGACACCAGATTAATTTCTAAAGCTTATAATCAAAAGTGAATAAGCATTCAAACAAAAGAACAGTGCGGTTTTGTGTATATATAAACAAAACAAAAAGTGCTGATAGAGACAGCTATTATTATATATTATTTTATTGCTGAAAAAGCTATTTATAGTAATTAAACAAAATTAAAATATTCAGCTGAGACAGCATATACAACCTATTCTTTGATTAGTGTGTACACAAACCATTATATTAAAAGTGTTATAACACAAGATCAGTCATCCTTAAACTGTTCATAATAGTAAATTTTATTTCCAAATTTCATATCCTATTTTGGTAATCGCTTAATTTAACGTAATGTCGGTCAATCGAACTCCACCAAAAGGTGGAGGCGAGTCAAATCACGAACAACAATCACAACAAGAACAACAATAACAGCATAAAACACACCAACAAGCTGTCCTATGCTCAAAAGCATCCAATAATAATAATCAAACAACACTTCTACAATCAAATTAACAGCTACAACTGCAAGAAAAACCACTGCAAACCCAACACAAACAACCACAACAGAACCAGCAAATAGAGAAACAACAAATGCAGCAAGAGTACCACATAAAACTCCAACAATCAAACCATCATCAACACAATTCACCATCAAAACTCATTCAGAATTTGGAAAACTCACCAGAAACTGCATTATTAACACCAGAACTGCAAACACAACTGAAGATGCAACCACAAACAAAAACAATGGCTTCAACACGCCAGTAGTGAATAAGAGAATTCGTAGCTCCCCTGGTAAGCAAATCAATGAAATAAGCGCCAAAGAGCACAAACAAAACAAAAAACAGTACACATTAAACGAGTATTTCTTAGCTACAAATAGGTTTGCTGTCCTAGCAACTGATAATGATAAATAAAAGACCACTACCCATTTACATGCAAAAAGTACAGCTGCTAGACAACCTAATTAAAACGTTAGATGCTCTACAAATAACTAAATATGAAATTCGTGTTTTACAAAACAATGAAATAAAAATTCAGCCGTACGAATCAACAGATCACACTAGCATAGTAAAATTTCTTAAAGAAAAAACTACACGTATAAGCCAAAAGAAGAAAGGGGGTTTAAGATCTTCCTACGCGGTATGCACCACTCCGCTAACAAAAATGAAATTATATTAGAGCTAGCTGAACTAGGACATGAAGTATGCAATATAAAAAACATATTACATCCGCGCACAAAATCTCCATAAAACCTATTTACAATCGAAATTAAACAAGATGTAAATAACAAGGAAATTCATAATATCAAAGACCTACTGCACTGCAAAATAAATTTTGAACCTCCCCATCCAAAAAGAACAATACCACAATGTACCAACTGTCAAAAGTATGAATACACAAAAAATTTTTGTACAAGAAGTCCAATCTGTGTTAAATGCTCCGAAGGACATAAAACAATTGACTGTCCCATGAAAGGTAAGAACAACGTCGTTAAATGCGCACTCTGTAAAGAGAATCACACTGCAAACTACAAAGGTTGTACAGTCTATAAAACTCTTCAAATCAAACGATTCCCAGCTCTTCGCGCAAAACAACAAAAAACCAGATCTCAAAATAACGAAATATCTCTGCCAACTAAAGCTGTTACGAACCTAATAACTAACACCCAACAAACGCAACAAATCCAACCAGCTAAAACATACGCCGAAATAATAAAATCGCATCCAACTCAACCCATTCCAATAAACAATGAATCAAACAACTCCGAATTTGACGAACTCCAGCTAATGATGAAACAGCTTATGACGCAAGTTGCCAACGTTATACATATTTTAACCATTCTAATCACCAAACTCGATGGACAGAAATAAATTAAAAATTTTAGCTTGGAATGCAAACGGTCTCAGCAAACAACTACTAGAACTGAGAACATACTTAAATATCAATTCCATTGATGTACTACTGGTATCAGAGACATCAAAATCCCTAACTATTCGACATGTCATACAAATCATCCCGACAACAAGGCCCATGGTGGAACAGCAGTAATTATTAAGCAAAATATACAATGCTCGAATAACCAGTATATAACAAACAGAACAAATTCAAGCTACAAGTGTCCATATTCAAGATACAAAAGGCGAGTTAACAGCATTAGCTATTTAGTGCCCTCTGAAACACAATAACTCGAAGGATGTATACCTGAACTACCTTAACACTCTCGGCAATCGGTACATTGTTGGTGGAGACTTTAATGCAAAATATACTTTGTGGGGCTCAAGAATTACAAACTGCAAAGGGAAAAATTTACATAATGCTATCATTGACAAAAAAGCAGACATTCTAAGCACAGGTGAACCTACGTGATTGACTTCTTCGAGACCAAAAATATAAATAAACGATTTCTTACAGTAAGTACACTTCCTGACTTATCATCTGATCACTCTCCAATTATGCTATCATGTGAAAGCGACACAAAACTAAACATCACAAGGACAAAATTAATCTATAATAACAAAATATGTTAGGACACGTTTAGAGATATTCTTAATACCGACCTGACAATAAATATTTCCTTAAAATTTGAAGACGAAATCGAAAGCGCGATTGTATACTTAAACGAAAGTAGTAGAAGTAATCACTATACCTAAACCAAATAAGGACATATCTGTAACAAAATTATACAGACCAATTAGCCTATAACCAGTTATGTCAAAATTGTTTGAAAAAATAATTTTATCAAGACTAGAACCGATTCTCCATAAAGAAAAACTTATACCTGACCATCAATTCGGCTTTCGCAAAAAGTATTCGACTATACAACAAGTTCACGGAGTTGTTAATAAAATAACTAGTGATATTGACGCAAAACATTTTTCCCCGGCGGTATATCTAGATGTCGCAAAGGCTTTCGACAGCGTTTGGCATGGAGGTCTTTACCTCATACTTAATAGCTATCTACAAAATAGATACCTTTATGTGAAGTATAAAGACTCAATCTCCGAACTTAAACAAATGAAAGCTGGTGTGCCCCAAGGAAGCGTATTAGGTCTATTACTCTACTTGCTATACACGGCTGATGTCCTGATACCTTCTGATTCTCAAAGTTTGATAGCAACTTTTGCAGACGATACAGCACTAATTGCAGCTAATAAAAATTTTAACATATCCATAGACAACTTGCAGAATTACCTAAACGCAACGCTCGAAAAATTTATAGCTAATAATTTGCAACAAATACTAAAAAAATCGGCTAAAAAAAATTATGTGTGCAAAATTTTTCGTCGAAAAGACGAATTTTGTTTTTGTACGAGTATCTCTTCAATATTTAGTCGTGAAAATGACTTATTTGTTTCCTTGTTTTATTTTATTACCTCTTTGATTTTACATTGATCAGGGTAACCAATTGTGGGTTGTTAATTCCACTATAGCTTAACTATTGTGTGCTTGCTCGTTACCGGTTCGGATGCAAAAAAGAACGATGCTTAATTGCGTTCTGTTGTGGCATTATATCCTTAGGTTATAATGCCACAACGTTGCCTTCATGCTTTCCGCGTGTTATAAACTATTTGCGGTTGCCATATCGGCCACAGTTAGATAAT